GTGGACCAGTCTATGAGAGCAATCTCTATAGTGTGGACCAGTCTATGAGAGCAGTCTCTACGGAACCAAGACCACACCTCATTGTAGGTAGAATCCACAAGAAGTCACCAATACAAGGTTCTCTCCCTGGTGTAAGTACAAACTGCAGAGACTGAGAGGCTAATGTGTTGTGCAGTCTTCATTCTGACGTAATTTAATTGTGTTAAAATTTATTAGTTACGGGTAATGACCCAAACAGGATTACTTTACTCTGAATTCCCGAGGTGAGGTGAGAATGACAGCCCTTGACATCAAGGCCGCATTTGACCGAATGTGGCACCAGGGAGCCCTAGCTAAAGTGGAATAGGTTAGTATCCAGGGGAAAACTCTCCGCGGGTTCCTGGAACGTAGGAAGATGGTTGTGGTTGTTGGAGGCCAGTCATCTCAGGTCGAGGCCATCATTGCAGGAGTTCTCTAGGTACTGTCCTTGGCTCAAATGTCTTCAGCTGCTCCATCAATGATCTTCCCTCCATTATACAGTCAGAAGTGGATGTGTTCAATGATGATTGCACAATGTTCAGCACCACTTGCAAACTCCTCAGATACCGAAGCAGTCCGCGTTCCAATGCAACAAGATCTGGACAATATTCGGGCTTGGGCTGATAAGTGACAAGTAACATTCACACCACACAAATGCCAGGCAATGACCATCTCCAATAAGTGTCAATCTAACCACTGCCCATTGATATTCAGTGGTGTTACCATCACTGAATCCCCAACTATCAATATCCTTGGGTTACCACTGACCAGAAACTCAACTGGACTCACCACATAAATGCAGTGGCTACAAGAGCAAGTCAGAGGCTAGGAATACTGTGGCAAGTAACTCACCTCCTGACTCCCTAAAGTCTGTCCACCATCCACAAGGCACAAGTCAGGAGTGTGATGGAATACTCCCCACTTGCCTGGATGGGTGCAGCCCCAACAACACTCAAGAAGCTTGACACCATCCAGGACAAAGCAGCCCACTTGATTTGCACCACATCCACAAGCATCCACTCCCTCCATCACCGACGCTCATGGTAGCAGTGTGTACTATCCACAAGATACACTGCAGAAATTCACCAAAAGATCCTTAGACAGCACCTTCCAAACCCACAACCATTTCCATCTGGAAGGACAAGGTCAGCAGATAAATGGGAACCTTCAAGTTCCCTTCCAAGCTATTCACCATTCTTGGAAATATATCGCCATTCTTTCACTGTCACTGGGTCAAAATCCTGGAACTCCCTCCTTAAGGGCATTGTGGGTCTACGCATAGCACACGATTTGCAGTGGTTCAAAAAGGCAGCTCATCACCACCTTCTCAAGCAGCATCTAAGGACGGGTAATAAACACTGTCTAGCCAGTGGCACCCACAGCATGGAAATAAATCCTTCGGTCCAACTCGTCCATGCTGACCAGAAGTCTTAATCTAGTCTCATTTGCCAGCATTTACCCATATCCTTCTAAACCTTCCTATTCATGTACCCATCCAGATGCCTGTAATTATACCAGCCTCCACCACCTCCTCTGGCAGCTCATTCCAGACACATACTACCCACTGCATGAAAAAGTTGTCCCTTAGGTCCGTTTTGAATCTTTCCCCTCTCACCTTCAATCTATGCCCTCTAGTTTTGGACTCCCCTACCCTGGGAAAAAGGCCATGGCTATTGACCCCATGCATGCCTGTCATGATTTTATAAGTCTCTATAAGGTCACCCCTCAGCCTCCGACGCTCCGGGGAAAATAGCCCCAGCCCATTCAGCCTCTCCCTATAGCTCAAACCCTCCAACCCACGCAACATCCTTGTAAACCTTTGCTGAATCCTTTCAAGTTTCCTACAGCAGGGGGACCAGAATTGAGCACAATATTCCAAAAGTGGCCTAACCAATGTCTTGTGCAGCTGCGACATCTCCTTTGGAGGTGTCACTAATCCCAATGTTTTCATCTTTAAGCAGTTCCCATCGCTTCATCAAGTTGCCTGTCGAAGGGTCATGAACTCATTTTGTTTCTCTTTGCAGCATGTCGAAGACGCTCTATCAAACTTTGGGCTCAAGGTAAATGGCAGCCAATTAACTGTAGAATTTAGTTTAATTCAGTCGTTTTTACTACTGCTCCTCACTTTTCAATTGGTGCTAGCTCTTATTCCTCAATGTTGTAATGTTTCTTCAATTTGCTTCATTCTCCCTTACCCCTAAATCTGATTTCCTCAAGGCTCTTTGCCATGGATTTAATTCTGAGACTTGGTTTGGTATTTATTCATTTTATTTCTTTCTAATTGCTCCCATTTGCAGTCTAACAGAGCCCATTAAACATTATTGCGTTACGTTTTGTGCATTTTATATTTTAAATGTTGATGAGTCAAATTTTTTTTGTGTGTGTCAGCAATGAGTGGGTGGGGACTGTTGGAAGTGAGTATTGAACTGAAGATTACCTTTTGATACATCTACAGTCAAAACTAATGGTGAATTTTTGTTGGATTTCTGAACGAATGTTTCTTTGATTGATGGACACCTCACGGGAACTCACGTTGAAGTTAGAATCCCATCCACAAACTTCCAAAAATTATTTCTTGGGACATGGGCACCATTGGGAAGACCAGTCTTTGTTGCCTATCCCTAATTACCCTTACAGCTAATGTGCTTTGGGCCAAATCAGAGTCAGCCATATTGCTGTGGGTCTGGAGTCACATGGAGGCCGGATCAGGTTAGATTTCCTTCCCTAAATGACATTGGTGAACCAGGTGGGATTGTACAACCATTGCTAATGGTTGTCATGGTCGTTATTACAGAGACTGGTTTTAAATTCCATGTTATTTAAGTTAATTTTGATGATTCTTTCAAGGTTTTTTGCACAACGGAATTTTATCATTGCATACACTGCTAAAGGTAGGCCATTCAACCTCTTGAACTTTCCCTGCTAATTGATAAGAGCATGGCTGATTTAGTTCTGACCTCAACTCACTTCCCTACCTATCTCTGATGCCTTTTGGCTCCCTTGTTATTCAAGACTCCATGGTTGAACCTGAATCGTCTGGGTTTTTTGGAAAGCTAACCCAATTCCATTGCCACTACATCACTGTCTCTCCCTAAATCCCAGCAATGATGGACCACCAGCAGCTGGCCCCATCTGAGATTATTTTGTCTGTGAACTGTGCTATTCTTCGAGAAGACGTAAGCACAGATCTCCCTTGATGTGGCTTGGAGCAAAAAATATGCTTGAAGTGACCTTGGTAACGTGTTACAGGAAGGAAGTGCATACTTTATGCAAGACTATCTGTGTTCTGGATCATATTGGAATATTGTATGAACACCAAGCTTAAAGCAAGCTAAACTAAAACAGGAAACATTGACGTTTTCCAGTGACAATCCCCAAAATCGTGAGCTGACTTGTTACTGAGATAAAGGAGGGGGTTGCTACAAGGGAATCGGTGTTCATATTTCCAGGTCTTCTTCCATACCTGAGACAGACAGCTGTTAACTGACCAAGGTAAAAGCTGTCACCTCTAACCAGTGGATGCATGACTGCAAACATGGGGCCTACAGCAGCTAAAGAGATGGAACAACACCAATCCCTCAACCCTCTGACTCCCCAGGTATTGAGCTCGTGGCCCTGAATAAAGAGTGATCACCTGAGCTTAGGAACCAAGGTGTATCATTTGTCCATTCTGAGGATGGGTCACTCAACCCGAAACATTAACTCTGATTTCTCTCCACAGATGCTGCCAAACCTAATGAGCTTTTCCAGCAATTTCTTGTTTTGTTTTTGTATTCTTTGTCCTTACTTTCAGTAATTTACACCCTTTTTTTTAATCACTTTGCTCCCAGTTGATTTTTTCTCTCCGTTTCACACCTTACTTTACACCCATTCTACATCTCCTTTTCTCATTCAACACCTTTTATCTTTTGCACTGAACCTCTACACCATCTGCAGCTCCCCCACTCCAATGCCCCCCACCCACCGACATCTTCCGCTTCTCTCAAAAGTATTTAAGAAACATTTTCTGACACCTTTCAGTTCTGAGGAAGAGTCACACAGAACTCAAAAGGTTGACTCTGTTTCCACAGATGTTGTCAGACCCCTGTCTCTCCCCTCCCCCCCACCCCAGTGGGACAGGCTTCTCTTTCCAGTCTGGGCAGTTAGATACACTACTGTTCTGCCATTCTCTCATTCCAATCACTTCATCTGAACTAGCAACATCCTTTCTCCCCCAGCACTCCCCCCACCCC